CCACCATTTGTAGCTGTGTGAGTTTGGGGATGTTCTTTAATTTCTCTAATCCTCGTTTTTAAAAAACTTATTTACAATGAGGATAATCATAACAACTTTCAAGGTTATTGTGGGGAATTGGACTTCATGTAGGTGAAATGCCTGGTACAATCAGTGCCTGGTAGATAACATATACTCAGTAAGTATCAAGCTATTGTTATAAACATGATTTGAGCAAATGGAAGAGGAAAGGGAGAATACCTTTAGTAGAAGCTCAGAGGAAATGATCAGTATGAAATATTTTTGAAATATATTTGTTGTTTTTCTGCTCTATTACATAAATTTTCTAAAGTGTCATATGAATATGTAATCACAATAATAAGAGATGGTACAGTATCATAATACTCCTAAAATTCAGTTATTTGCTCAATTTCACCAGATCTGGTTCACTTATTTGTTATTTAATCATTTATTGAGCATACATGATAGAGAAAGCTCTTTGCTAAGCACTATAAGGTGTATTAAGATGAACAAGATACAGTATTTGTTATTAGAAGAATTTGTATGTGGAGGTTGGGCTCTAGCATCCAGTTATGGTAAGCAAGGAAGGAATGTGAGGAGTGGGAGACAGTGGCATGGGTAGATGGTGCTGATTATGCACTAAGCCAGCCTGAAATCCTGACTTAGGACCTGGACAGTTCCCAGGCCTACCAGGGCCTGGCTACTGGTTTCCTGGTTCTAGAAACAGGGGGAAAGACCTTTTCACATCCTGTACTTGAGTTTTGATGGTGACAGTGAAGAAGGACTTTCTTTAGGTTGATCCTGCAGCATCTTGGAGAGGACCACCTGGTGAGAATTTGATGTGAAGATCTCTTGTTGCCCTTTCTTATGTTGCATATTTTTTGTGGCAGGTATGTGCTTTCAGTGATTTTTGTGTGTGTGTGTGTGTATGTTTGAAAGTGGAACTAATGTCTGATTTGTTATTGGGCTATCTCAGTGTTAGTAACGTCACTTGTCCCTGGTGCTATTCAGTCTAGCCTGCTTCTAAAATGCATAAGTAAATCTTTTTGTGAACTGGATTTCCTTGGTGCTTTTATGTTTTAATCCACATTACACCCCTGTCCCCTCACCCTTAACCTTACATAGATGTAAGTTGCTTCACAGTGCTCCCCAAACTCAAAGGATTTGTTTGAATAGTGACCATACTCCAAGTAACTGGGTACTGGAGTTTTTTCCTAACTAGAAAATCAAGTCTTTACTTCTCAACCATAAACTTCCAGAAGTAGATTGAATAGGAATTTTTATGATTGAAATGAATATTATTATAATGTAATAAAACTTACATTTTTTACTAAAATAACAAAAATATAGCAAGTTTAGATCCAAAGAAACAATGCTTTTTTTCCAGCAGTCACATTAAGTGGAGCTTTTTTGCATGCCTCTTTTGGAGTGGCATTAGAGTTGCTTTACCAGCAACATAGGATCCCCGTCTTGTGACTGGATAGTTTGGTTCACTACTTTTCTCCCATATTTTCACTTCTTAAGATCTCCTCCATTTAGCTTCTTCTCTTCCTGCCCTCAGCCCTTTACTGTTTGGTTCTTTGCCATTGTGACCTGAGAGGATGGTAAGGAAGGGGCCTTCCAAGAACCCTTGAAAACCAGGAGACTCTGTCGTCCAGAACCAGGATGAGGGTTATTCTGAACCTAAGAGGAAGCAGTTAACCACATACTGCACATGGCACACTTATTCCTGTCCATTTCAGAGTAATGGGGTTGGTGATGGATTGAAAAGCCACCCACCACAGGGATCAGAAGCACCAGCCATTTCCCACACCAGCAGCCTGCAAGTCAGGGACCAGCTGTGCAGGTTGTGTGCTCCGGTCAGGAGGGCCCTGTTACCAGGCACCCCCTCCCCACTTACTGCTACTTCTGTGGAGAAGACATTCCTCAATATTCTTTTGTATATCAGCTACATTATTACTTAGCAGGGACATTTGGGGAAATTGATACAAAAGAAGGAAATTCTAAGCGGACGAGGTGGCCAACTGGTTAAGGCAATGGACTGCCAAAAGAAGGAAATTCTGATAGTAAACTGGGATTTCTGCACATTGAAAGCAAAGGTTTGTCCATCTTTTCACAGATGTCGGTTCCTTATCTTCATGGCTTCTAAGTGACTTCCTTCACTAGAGGAATTCAAGTTAGGGCATTATTGAATCTTACCGAAGGAAGAACCAGGGACTTTTCAGTGATAGGATTCTAAAGAGGCATAAGCTGGTAGAGGGCAATGAATAATCAAACCCTGGCAGCACCGAGATTAGGAAGAAAGGGGAATCAGTGGAGCTATGAGATTACAATTAGAAACAAATGACATCATCTACCAAGACCTTGGAAAGTACTGTACATATGGAGTAGAATTTTAAATAATTAAAATGATTAAATTTGGCAGCACATCCTTAACTTGGAGAGAAAAGAAAAGGCAAAAAAATACCAAAAGCTCCTTTGGGAATTTATGGATATAAACAAATGATAAGGAAAACTTTCAGAGCTGAAAAGTTTTTCTTATTTGCTAGAAAATAAGCAGTTGTAAGCCTCATTTGGGATATAAATTCATGTTATGGGCTGCCTCCTCTCTGATCATCAACAAAGAAAATAAATCATGGGAGGTCATGAGTGAAACACTGTTATTGATGTTCCAGAAAAGCTGCAGGCAGGCACTGCTGCCCTGGCAGGAAGCCTCCACTGTGCTGGGTGGTAACAGGCTATCCTGTTTGTACTAGAGAGAAAGGGATGAGAAAATGGGAAACAAAAGCAGTTTAAGGCATTGGCACAGCTGTAAATATATGGGGTTTAACTGAATTAACAGGACGTAAGTTAAACCCAGCAGCATATCTGCCTCTGTGGGTCATCCCTGCTCCCTCCCTCCTCTGCTTAATCTCTCTGCATAGCCCCATTGTCAACCACCAGATGTCATCCTTGTCTGCCTCTTGTCTTTGTGCTTTGCCTAGTGTAATCTCATCCTTTAGTATAATATCTTCAGGTTCATCTACTTCTCTCAGCTACCTTCCCTCCCACTTGGATTATGGCCACAGTTTCCTCCTTGATAACCTGCCCTCCAGTCTTGTCCTCCTTTTGTTCATTTCCCTCCACATGCAACCATGATGGTTTTTCTTAAGTTTATTTGATCCTGTCACTCCACTCCTTCAATAATCCCCTGGTGCCCTTGAGATAAAATCCCAACCCTTCTCTGAAATTTTTCTCACCACTTCCTCTCTTGTATATTCTACAGTATGTCTTAAAGGCCTGGTTCGATCTCTTTCTCTCAACTTTCTGTCTTTGTATACTGGTTCTTCTGCCTAAATCTTCTGCCTAAATCAGTGGTCGCCAACCTTTTGGACCTCACGGACCTCCTCTGCTGACCACTGGTTGGAGACCGCTGGCTTAAATACCTTTTCTTGCCTCCCCTTTAGCTTGGCTAACTAACATGTTCTTGCAGCAAGTCTTAGCTTTCTCCTTGGTTTTCCCATAGCATTTGTTTGTGCTGGCTAACTTGTCTGCTTCACATTCCAACCCAGACTTGAAACATGGATGGTCACAGGGCCATATACTATTGCATTTCCTATGCAGAATGCCTGCATGAGTTGATTCACAATAAAAACTTGTTGACTCTTGAATTAAGTCATGATAGGGGACTCAAATGTCTCTTTACTGGTTTTCAGGGTGTCATACTTTTTAGTTGTATACAATTTCAGATTTGATCAATATTGCCTATACTTATTAAAAGACCTGGTTATTTCCCTGGTATTAAAATATCAATGATCCAAGAGATTCTTTCTTTTTGAATTACTTTATATTTGAGTTAATGGTTGAGCCTTGCCAGTTTTTCTTTTTCCTTTCCTTAAGTTGTTGAGAAGAGCTACTTCAGTTGATCATTCTTTTCTGTTTTTCTCATTATTTGGCTTATTTGTCAAATATTGTTGAACATTTGAACCTTGTGTACATGGTCCTTGCCCTAAGGTGGTACTGACTCTGGTGGATGAGGACCAACTCAGCCTTTATGTGGGACCCACAAATCCCACTGGCAACTAGGTTATCCTTGATCTGTTATGGAATTCTAAATTGTTATATAACTTACTGATAAGTCTATACAGGCCCTTGGAAATTGTTCTAAGGCAGTGATTATAAAATCAAATGCCCATAGGGGTAGGAATGTCCGAAATGAGAAGCAACACCTGAAGAGTGTCAGGGAAGTGAGAGGAGCAACCACTAGGGACTGGAACCTTAGGGTCTACCTGCAGGGGCTGTCAGCTGCTGCGTTCCTGCAGATTATGGCCATTGGGGTGGGGGCCTGGTGCTGCCAAATGATCTGATTTCTCTAAAGAAACTGGAAATACGGATTTTTTTTCCTTTGTAGTATGTTTGAAAGTGTAAAAATTATATATGTTGCCTTAAATTTAAAAAAATGTAGGGAGCAAACAAAACATGTCCATGTCCCAGATTATGCCCACAGAAGGCCAATTTGCAGTCTTTGCTCTAAAGGATGTTTTGCTTTTTTTTCAGAAATGAACACTATTAATAAAGGAGAGTGTATGGGTGCTAATGTGTCTTAAAGCTGATTGGGTTTTTTTTTTTCTTTTAATCACCTTTAACAAGGAAATATTACTCAACTATAGAGTTTAGATGAGTTAGTTATAGCACATGATTCTTTAATAGCATGTTATAACGTCTTGTTATTTTGTAGTAGCTCAGGTACAGAGCATACTTTTAAAAAGACAGTGGTGTTTTAGGCTAATATGGTAGATCTCCAGCCAAGTGCCTAATTTTAATGCATGACTTTCTCAAATTTCTAAATAAAAGTGTTCTCAATTGAACCTAGAAGAATCTATAAACACAATAACTGTAGGATTTTTTTCCAGAATCCTTGACCATATTAACAATTTAAGGTTGAAAAAATTGAAAATTAATCTTGACTCTACTTAGTTATTGGATGGATATTCATGTATTTTCTTTTTCTTTCTTTAAAGATTTGAACATGGAATTCAATCCTTCAGACCATCCTCGAGCCAGCACAATATTTCTCAGTAAATCTCAGACAGACGGTAGGTCGCTAATTTATGTTTTTTCTTTCAAAAAAGCAAGGCACATGTTAATAACTAGCGTATTCATTTTTCACTAGAATCCTTTTTAATGACCCCCCCCCCCAATATATTGTTTGATGGTAGTTCTCTTGGGGTTTCTTTCTGTTGTCTTAACTTACGTTTTTAGAATTTTCTATTTGAAGCAATGTTGTCAGTCAGCTGTGTACATTCTGTGTCAGTATTTTTCTGTTCTGAGAGTCATAAATTTTTCTTTAAGAATTGATATTGGCATAAATTCTCTAAAGATCAGAAGCATTGGTTTATTAGACGGTATGTAAAAGAAAAATATACACAGTTGTCCCAGGTGAGTGTGGAATTTCTCCTGAGTTTTTTTTTTTCTTCTCTTTCTAGTACCAGCTCATCTCACTTTTCCCTGGCCCTTAGCTACAAAGGAGAGATAAAACTTATACCATACAGTGAACATAAATCTTCTCATTTGGATTCCTATAGAAAAGAATAACAGGAGAAAGGTGTTACATGATGATATTGTGAGCAGGATTTTATATTACAACTAGAGGCCTGATGCATGAAATTCGTGCAAGGGGCTCGGCTCTCATAGCCGCGGCGGCTTGCTGGCTTCGTCCCGAAGATTGTTCAGCTGATCTAATTAGCATATTACACTTTTATTATTATAGACTAGAGACCCGGTGCACAAAAATTTGTGCACTCAGGGGATTCCCTCAGCCTGGCCGGTGCCCTCTCGTAGTCTGGGACCCCTCGGGGGATGTCCAAATGCTGGCTTAGGCCCGCTCCCCGGGGTATCATGCCTAAGCTGCCAGTCAGACATCCCTCTCTCAGCCCAGCAGCCCTCAGGGGATGTCCACCTGCCAGTGGGGACCAGGCCTAAGCTGCAGTCAGATATCCTTAGCACTGCTGAGGAGGCGGGAGAGGCCTGGTTTTTGGAGCTGCAGTCAG